GAAGCACCTGCGTGCTGGATACGTACAGAACACAGTACACGCAAACTTTACTGTGATTTTCTACAATTTTCTAACTCCACCAACCTGAGTGCGTCTTCTTTTCTGCTGTTTGCGGTGTTTGGCATCCCAGTGTTGTATTATTGCCATCTTGTGTCCGTAGTCGCCGTCACTGTCCCATTAACCAAAATTCTGTCTATTAGCCATGTTACCTTCAAGTAATCTAAAAACACTCTCCTCCCTCTTCCACTCCTCTCGAATTCTACTGCACTCTCAAAACGTATTCCTACTCAGCCATATTTGAAACACAGTAAACACACCTACCCCCTTCCACTGAATATTTCCTGCATGAATGATGATTTATTGCTTTTGATTCTTGACAAACATCACAATAGCCTGTAGGGTGTTTTCCAATAACAGACAGTGTACTATTAAGGTTACTGTGTCCAGTTATGTTCTACTAATTATTACTTGTTCTCTCCTCACTGTGCTTCTGTATCCTATATACAGTAGATTCCTTCCCTTAGTTTCACTACCCCACTTCTGTTGCCATTCTTGTTAAACATTTCCCAGTATCCCTGCATGTGCCAGAACCTACTTTGTGTTAGAACCTTATTGTAAAGCATGCATCAATGTACTGGAATTTAAAATGAACTCTTGTTTGTTTCTGCCTACAGCATAGGACTGGATGTCTGCAAGGACCTGCTGCCACAATTTGGAAGAAGTGTCAGACTCATTTGACGTAGAATTCATTTATTTATATAATGTTGACATGGAATGAATCTTCCACTTACAGTTGTTTCATTTCCTCAGTCCTACAAGTCTTCAAGAGCCTCCTGTGATGTCCTCCGTGGCTGCTTGACCAACACAAGTGCATCCTCCTTACGGGCACAGATTGTGACCATTGATTTATTTAATCTTTATTAGTTTATGGCATGGAGTGTTTCTTTCACACTGACACTTGTTTTACTTCTTCTCTACAGTCCTGAAGCTCCTTGTGTGATGTCAGGTGTCCATCTGGAGTATGAAACTGGACAGCGGCAACTTCCTCAGTCAGTCTTTCAAGACAGCAGCCATCTCTGCAAAGGACACAGCATGAATAGGAAACCATAACCCAGCTATGGGAATAAATACTCACTAAACTAACTATAAATTGTTGAAGTGCATATAAACACTCACAGCCACTCATTTAGTACAAATTATAGAACTCCTAGTAAAAAGTGGTGTTGTACCAGCTTACATGGCCAAACATAACTGAATTTATACATTAATGATTGTATAAACACAACTCAGCTATGGGAATAAACTAACCAGCCAATACATTAAGTACAACTAAATGCAACACTTCCACATCTGTGTTTATGAAGCTCAAAAGATCGGAAATTGTCAAACATATAAATTAAATGGCTGAAGTCCTAATTAAAGGTGGTGTTGTACCAGGCTACATATGTACATAAGAGTGTTAGGAACACTCCTCAATATCATGTAGTCCAGTACAACACCACCTTTGATTCAGACATAACTGACTTTATACATTTTCAGCTTCATAAACACATGTTCAGGTGGAAGTGTTGCATTGACAGGTGTACAAATAAAGTGGCTGCTGAGTGTGACATTTAAATAAGAAAGGTTTTGTCCTTCACCTGTTGGAGCCTCTGAAGATGTCTTCAGTGGGCTCAGCTTCACGTCTTCATCCTTTATGAAGTCATCTGTGAAACACAGAGAACAAACCGTCATTAAGAGGCTTTACTGATGAATAGCTTCCACATAGATACGTGGAGTGAAATGCTAAACTTACCTCACTATGCTGTGCTCCTCTCACTCGTCAGGGGATGGGGCTTGCTGCCAGGCGGCTTTTGGAGTTCTGGAAATGGAGGAAAAACACTGGTGTGGTGTCGTTATCCAGACTCAACATGAGACCAGTTCTGCTGCAAAAACTTGCTTGTATGGGCGACTCAGATACGGTGGACGTTCTGTATCAGCAAAGGAGACACAGGACAAATTACCACTTCATCTTCAGGAGATTCCTCTCAATGGCCTTGACATCCTTAACCTCATTGTGCTTCTAGCTAAATACTATATACATAAATGCAAATTTAATGGTAATAAACCTATATTTTGTTCTTTTATGAAGGACTTGAAAATACTGTATATAGCGCACTAATTTCTTCACATGTGAACTCAAAGGCTATGAAAACTAGGAATCTAATTAACAGATACATCTTTGTTTTCTGTTATCGGATTTTTTTTTTTGCCTTTTCTTTCTGTCTGTATACACAGATCCCCTCCACATGTTACAGACTGCACTGTGCAATTAATTGCTTCCTGCTGTTTATATAAAACTTTTAATTGCTTAAGAAAACATTTTCAAAAGTAACAGCCACCCCATCTTTTCACCAGATCTTACCAGAATAACATTTTTTCTTAAATGAATGTAAAATGTAGCTACTAATTTTTATTTTCGGCATGATATTACTAAACAAATTTTACCTAAATGTGAAGTAGATTTATTGCACTTTACATCATTCAACACATTTTATCACAAGCTTTGAAATCTCAAGTCAGCTACACCTTGAAAACGCTGTATGCTCTCTCCTCAAAACCTGCTCCAGCCAATCAGACACCCCGCAACTAACTGGCTCCATTTTTATTCCTGGGGGCCTAGTTCCCAGCCAAAAAATAGATTTTGGTCGATAACGCCTTCCTCTGTTTATCTTCACCACATATGTTGCTACTGATTTATAACTTCATTCCATATAAAGTACTTCTGCTTTGCTTGCTGAAATCAGTAATTCCACTTGATTATCTTTTAATCCCTGTTTTGCCAGATAATCCACCCTTTCATTCTCTTGCAACCCCGAGTGAGCTGGTACCTACTGAAACTCCACCTCCACTCCCAGTCTGTTGTTTTAGTTTTGTAAGTTCATCATGAACAGATTATTATTAAATAAATAAGAATTTATGACTTAATGCCTTGCGGTGAACGACAGAGTTCTCTTTTAGACCTTTCAACTGTAAGGGGGTGTTCCGAATACTTGCACACCCCTTCTCAGGCTGGTTCCTGAATTTAGAGGCCATTCTGATCCTCTGGTGGACTTTATCAGGCCACAAACAGGCTTTTGTATTTTGATGGGGAAGAATTAGTGGACTTAAAGATGTGTTCACTAAATTGGTTTTTATTTGTGATTTGAGATTGATTCAGCAGG